CTTGCTCAGCTGACACTGAAGGGTATGAAAGCCATCATCAGATAGCCTATACCACAAAGCAAACATCCCACTATCTAGGCTGTTTCTTTCTCTGTTCCTGTTTCATGTCTTCTGCCAATATGTCACATGAAATGGTGTATTTCTGCGTGTGACTTGTCCCAGTGGCTTTTATTCCTTTTCTTTGCTGCTTTATTGAATTATGTTTTCCAGGAAAAGCCATGATTTTTCCCTTTGGAGCAGTTACACGTTTATTTATTATAGAAAGTAACATATTTAGATGCTCAGAGGGCAGGAGCACCTCTCCTATGAAGACAGACTGAGAGAGCTGGTCTTGTTCAGCCTGGAGAAAAGAAGGTTCTGGGGGAGACCTTAGAGCAGCTTCCAGTGCCTAACGGGGGCCTACAAGAAAGGTGTAGAGGGAATTTTTAAAAGGGTATGTAGGGATAGGAGAAGGGGGAATGGTTTTGAACTGAAAGAGGGGAGATTTAGGTTACATATTAGGAAGAAGCTCTTTACTGTAATGGTGGTGAGACACTGGCACAGATTGAGAAGCTGTGGCTGCCACATCCCTGGCAGTGTTCAAGGCCAGGTTGGACGGGGCTTTGAGCAATCTGTTCTAGTGGATGGTGTCCCTGCCCATGGCAGGGGGGTTAGAACTAGATGGTCCCTTCCAACCCAAACCATTCTATGATTGTATGATTTAGGAAACATTAATATAAATTTCCTCAACTTGTTCACAGTGGGAGAGGAGCTGGTGTTTTCAGTCCAGACATAACTTGGATTCATATGGGCATTCACCAGCTCAGTGTAACTGTTCTGCAGTGGGTTTCAAAGCATGTCTTTCCTCATTTCAGTAGGTTGTGCTCCTATGCGCTAAATGAGGAAGCTAAATGAGCTGGCATTGTGAGCCTCAGTGCTTAAAAAGCCTATGAAGGCTTGTTGGAAGCATCTGTACTAAAATCCACTTGGAAAAATTTAACAGGGGAGACTTAAATGCTGTTTTCTCCATAAAGGAAGCATATTTTCTAGTAATCCTTATTGTCTGTCCATTCTTTTTCTTGTAAGAGTATATTATAGCCTACTCTTGTAAAAAGTGTATTATACTGTATTTTCTTTTAATATTTTCCTCTATTCCAGGGATCCTGAAAAGGAGAGGGTGTTCACTCCTAGTGCTTTAGTGTATGTCTAGTGCTGGCAAATACTTGATTCTCTAAAAAGCAGAAAATATAACTTGTTAATTTTGGGGTGTCAGGAAGGGGTCAGGCATAACCCAAGTCCTGAAAAAAGAAGAGACCATAGCTAATGCTCCAAGCTACTGTATTAACACCTTCCCAGTTGTATAGGTCTCTATATGTATATTTGTCTGCCTTGTAAATTAGGATTTCCTTGGGGTAGGAAAGCTGTGTCCATCCATGTGTTTATACAAGTATTCTTGTTAGTACTTTAACACTCAGCCACCCAAATGCTGCCTGATTCCTATCTCTCCCCCTTTGGAGCATATCTGAGGGAGCTTGGATGGGAACACTTGCTGTTCTCAAGGTGGTGCAGCAGCTGCACTTTGCACACTGCCTCCCAGAGCTCCTGCTAAGTAGTAGTTACTCTGAACCCAGTGCAGACTTAACATTTTAGGGCACAGCTGTCACTGTCATACTATATATTCACCCAGTATACAGATCTGATCACAACAAAGCGTAGTAAGAATTCTCTGTAGCGCATTGAAAGCAACATGTGATACTTCCACACTGCCCACTTGCTTCAAGCTGAGGATGTTGGAAGTCAGATGTCTGCCTCGTAAGAAATTTGTGAGGGCTGAAAATTCACATATCTGAAGCAGCAAGTGTTCCTCTGCTTTTCTGAGAGGAAAGGTACTCGGCTTTTCAAGATGAAGTCTGTGCTTGGGCTTGAAGTGTTAAAGAAATGCTGTTAAAACTAGATGTCAGTGGTACCCTGGCTTGAATTTTGGAAATCAGTTGAAAGAAATAGCTATACCCAGAGTCTCTGGGGAAGATCTGACTGTAGCCTTCAATAAAGGTGTTCGCAGCACGTAGCATCTGAAAGCTAATGTTGTAATCCAGAGCAAGTGAGTTTCAAAGGTTTTCTGAAATAGTTCTGTCTAGATCTTGCCCAGAGATGTTCTAAGAAAAATACATTGGTGGTCAAATTGAAAAATGCGTATTTGGTCTAGACAGTACTCTATTTCTTTACTTTTGTCACTGCTGTTAATAGAAGAGAGGCTGAGATGAGGGCGAATCAGAACTTCTTGTGTAGAGAGATTTGGATTTGCAGTCTGATTCCAAGAGTTAAATAGCATTCAAAAAAGTATTTTTAAAAACCTTTTTAAATGGAAAATAGTCCCTAAAGATTCTACAAAGACACAGTGATATCTTCTCCATTTGTGATTGTATTTAGTAAATTTTTAGTTGCCCAGAGATGAGTTTTCAAAGGAAAATACCAACAGATAAACACTTTGCATTCCATTCCTTTCTGACGGATATTTAAAAATGGGAACAAGATAGTCTTGAATGTGCCTTGACACTTCAGATCTGGCTGCCCTGTATCTCCATCTGTACACTGGTATTTTGTCCCCAACAATTACTGACTGTTCTAAATGTCTGCTGGAAATGCACTCTGTGGATTCACTTGAAGATCTCACAGAGAAGCCTGTTAGCTTCTAACTAGAATAGGTATAATTTTGTACTTTGATTTTAATATTTTAAATAGATTACCCATCCAGACTTTAATAATGCATTCTATATAAGGCTCTACAGAACCAAATAATCTACATAGCCTTCTCTTAGCCGCTGGGAAGACTAGGGGAAGAAGTAATTCTTTCCTGATACTCAGTATGATTCTGAAGTACAGATACAATAAACGAAATCCATCTTTATACTTGTCTTACTGTCTATGAAGCTAGGATGAGGTGAATTTTAAAGTGGCATCAGTGGAGTGCTGGCCCCTGAAATCACAGCTTCTGTTTCTTGCTGTATTTGGGGGACTGAGCAGGGAAGGGTCTTCCAGTAACTATACAAGTACATGTGGGTTTGCAAATAATCTGTATTCATTATAGGCTTCTGGACTCTGTGTACTTCACACCATACAACTCAATGAAATTACATAGCATAGAAGCTAATGTTTGTATAATAGGCTAGGAAAACAATGCTTGTAATATGAGTCTCTTGTTTCTACTAATCTTTTTCTATGAGGGTGCATTAGACAGCAGAATAAAGCTCCATCATTGAAACTACCAGGAAGTATTTTCCCCGCTCAGTTCCTTAACACCAGAAAAATACATCAGGGAATGGCACTGCCATCATCAGTCAACTCTACTTTGCATGAGAACATTGTATTTGTGGCTGTCCTTCACTTGGAAAACAGAGTTCTTATTGTTTTTATCTCTAATGAAAAGGCATAGAAAGCTGTCTCTTCCAGTCAGATCAGTTCTGGGATGTTGTTCACAATTCCTAATTCCAAAGTAATCTCTATTTTTATGTAGAGTGTCCAGGTATTTGGGGTGCTGTGTTCTAGCATCCTGATACTAGAGCCTGTGTTCTAGTAAGATGACAACTTCCAATGTCATATTACACTGTCAGTTAGACTGCCAGCAACAATACTGAGCACCTTTAATGGGGTGTTAAGAAAGGGGTTTTTTTCTGTTTTTTTTTTCTTTATCTTTGCCAGTGGAAAAGCATAAAGAAGCAGTCTAGGGAATTGTTTTGGAAGGACTTTTTTTTTTTTTTTCTTTAGGTGTTTTGAGTTCATATTAGGGAAGGCAGGTTAAGGATTTCACTTCACATTTGGTGATGAAAAGTCTGTGGATTTATGCTGGGTTTTGGTTTCCTTAGGAATTTAACTTCCCAGTTTCAGCCTGCCTGAATTCACAGGACAATTTTGGCTGATAATCACTCACATCTTTCTTGTATGTTCAGTGTGGTGAAGGAGCAGAGTTTTTGACTGCAGCGTTTGCTGTATTATTTTAGGTTATCCTAGTGTTTTCTTAGAAGTGAGGAATGTAAGGAAGTATCTAAAAATAAGAGCAAAGCCAAACAGCTTATGTCCATACCCTTTAAGTACTGAGTGCTGAAAGCAGAGAAAACTCTAATGTGCTCACCAAAATTTGATGGTATGTGAAAGCTCTTCTGTTTTAGTTGGGGTTCCCTAATGGCGTCAAGTTTCATAAGCAGCTATACTGTATTGGTGTCATCCAGATGCAAGCAGAGAGGGCTGTGTAAAACTGAGATCAGGACACTGTCCAGTCAGAGAAGATGCAGTTCACAAGAAATCTGGAGGTAGTAAAATGTGATGCCATAGTGAATGAGCAGAACTGTTGTCTCAGTAGTTGGGGTTGTATTTGAAGCATTGTGGCTTCTTATTTCTAGAAGTGCTGGTCTGTCTTTGGAGTGTCAGGTCCAACAGGTTGATGAGGCCATTGCAGGAATGTAGTAATCTGTCTTGGTAATGGAGTTGTAGTTGTACGTGGGTAAGGGTAAGCAGAATGTTTTCCTATAAAGCTTACTATAAAAGAAGCAAAGCATGTCCAAGGCCCCGCACACACGTTCATTTTCTGTCTGCTCAATCTAATGAATTAATTTGAGAAAAACAGGGTTTAGGAGGAAAAATACAATAAAATCATGCAGTAGATAATGGTTCATTAGTTTTCTGCTTCTGAGTGATGTATCTATATAGTAGTCCAATATAAATAGCAATCATTATCTCCTTGAGGAAGAGATAGTATGTGGTAAGGGAACCACTGAATTGGGCTTAACCTCTCAAAATGGAAGTAATAATAAGTAGATGTTGTCCTGAAATGTGAGTTAACTTTGAGTTTGTTTCATTTCTGTAAATTTTGTTGTTCCACCCATACAATAGCAGATACAGCTAGTGTTGTATCTATTACCGTATTTATTGCTGCATCTATTCCTCGGTAAAGTTGAGTTCTCTGTGAGAGCTTTGTGTAGAGAATGACTTATCCTGATATGACTTTTTTTCCTTTTCCCACACAGATCACCCCTGGCAGTAAGGCAGCACAGTCACAGATGAACCAAGGTGACCTTGTGGTAGCCATTGATGGAGTCAACACTGACAGCATGACCCACTTAGAGGCCCAGAACAAGATCAAGTCAGCCAGCCACAACTTGAGCCTCACTCTTCAGAAGTATGTTGATGCAAGTTAAAGTCCTTGTATTAACTACGGGCTTCCTATGAAACTTGTGACTTAGTGATATAAATGTTTTTTCTCTGTTAGATTTACTTGAACTGTTCAATGCACAGATATGAGATAGAATGCCAAAATCTGCTCTGATTCTTATAGAAATCAGCATAGATTCTTATAGAAATTGGTATGGTTGATACGCTGAGTGTTATCTGTGTTGAATTTAGCCTACTGTGTTCAGGTGTAATCCCATACCCATTCAAGCTTCTGTTAAAAATTCTGTTAAAGCAGAATTTCTTCACATAACAGGTCTCTCAGCTTTTCTTGGTTAATGTTGCTTCCAAGGAAACCTGCTCTCAAGTCAGATAACCTTGCACAGAGATTTTCTGTAATAGCTGCATTAATATTTAAAACTCCATGATGTTATAAAGCAAAGTAACTGCTATTTTTATTGCATTGTGGAGAAGATAATTTTTACATAGGCTAGGCAAAGACTGGTACAGAAAGCAGGTTGTAATGTGAAAGTATAATTTCTGAGAATATACCAGAAGAACTCATACATGGATGTGCAATAGAGCTAAACAGTATCAGGAACAGACTAACACCCAAGGAAAAAAGACCTTTACCCGAGGTTTCCAAGACAGAGCAGGGTACTCTAAAGCAAAATGTGTGGCTGAATTTCCCAAGTTTGCCTTTCAGTGGGCGTTCCAGATAATTTATGAAATAAGTACACAAAGTAGAAGGATGCTAACAAAATTGCAACACATTTGTTAGCTTCTGTGAGAACACTGGGTAGACTTAGGTATTTCCTAGAAAAGAGTTTAAATTAAAGCTTTTCAGATATTCCAGATTATCTCAAAGAAAAATCTCTAGCTGTTTCAGTGAATGCAAGGGAGGTAGGGAGATGTATGGAGTAAATTCTGCTGCCTCATAGGCTGTGCGTGTGTGCCTCTAGTGTGCTTAGGCAAGATTTTCAGCCAGAGTTAGAGACAAGGAGCCTCATCGTAAAGGTACTGAAATGGGCTTCATATTAGGAGCCAGAAGAAAATTGTCTTCCTAAATTGTTAAGGGGAGATGGGGTGCTATTTTTATGCATGTGATTGAATTCTTATCCTATGGCTCAATCCAGCTTCTTTTTCTCTGTTCTAATGAATGCTAGTGATATTATGAATATATGTATGATACCCTTTTAAAAAGATTTACATTGTTCTGGATTATTTTCTATTTGAAAATTAGGGAAAATAATTTCTGGTAATTTATTTTAGAACTTCTGTCTGCTTTTCTGTTGGATCCTTGTGTTTTTTCATTGAGAAAATATGTTTCATTTTGTGCTTTGGCTTGTTGCATGTTTGGGGCTAATTTTCCTGAATATTGGACCTGAAAAATGGTCCAGTGGCTGTCTCTATGGCTTGGCATTTACAACTACAAATCATCACCTCTCCTTCCATACAGAGGATGGGTTCCCAAATCTTTGACTAACAAAACCTACTATCCTAATACATACCACAGATGCAAGTCACTTAAAACCATAATTTTGATCAAGTGTTGGCAGGGACATCTCATGTGAGTAATTGTTGTGCTTTTGTACTTGCTGACAATTGTTGCTAAATGACAACAATTCTAGTTGCCACATCATTAAAAAAAAAAGTGATTTACAGCATCCAGGACAACTTATTTATTGTTGAATGATTGAAGTAATTGTTAGTTTTCTTAAAATATTTTCAGAATGCTAAAGGCTTATTTATTGTGGTGTACATTATTCTTTGCATAATTCTAGTGGAAGTGTCATTATTTACTGCTTTCTTGCTCATCTATTGTTTATTTTATTATTTTTTTAAAGGCTTGCCTTGTCTCTCAGTTCCAAAACAGTAGTATGTGATTCAGATAATAAAGTTATGTGGATAATGGACAGCCGAAGTAAGCAGTAATGCAGCATTCCACAGACTGAAATACGCTCACATAGATAATAGATGTAAATGAGTTAAGATCCATTTTGAAAAGAAAAGAAATGGCATAAAGTGGTGTGAAATACTATTAAGCACAAATAGGTCAGACAACTTCTTTGTTAGCAAATGAGAACTTTCACAGATGATGCTTGTGCTCTAAACTTATGCAATTCATAGAATCTCTTCAGTATGACAGTTGCTTTTTCATGTGAGCTATTAGTTTGCACTGGTGACCCACTCAGCTTTGCTAGAGCTGTATGGGAAAAACAAACGTTGAAAAGTAATTATTATTTTATTTTTAATTGAGCATTTTTCTTAGATGTTATGGGGCTGTTCAGAAAGTTGTGCTCAGAGGAATTAAGCTGGCTTTCCCTTTGCACAATTCGGTGTTTGTGCAAGCTAAACCCTATCAGCATGTGATCTCAGCCAGCTGACGTATGCGTGTATCAGTTATGCAGGTCGAGCATCCCAATGTCTTGAACAAAAGGCATCTCCACAATATTTGGGAAGTTAGCTTAATCTCACTTTGAAAAATTATTTTCCTAGGCACAAATGGCTTAATTTGCTCAAGTACGAAAAGATTGCGGCAGTTTAATCACCTGCACAAAATTTACAATGAATTTTTTTTCCCAACAGAAATTATTTTATGAAAATTTTATTGGTGAGAAGAATAGTTCACATGAAAAATCTGGGAGCAATCACTAGTGATAGTAATTTTCAAACAAGTAAGAACAAAACAGGAGAAAGGCAGAATCTCCTGGACTTGGTTACAAGGAAAATGACTGTGCTAAGAGATCATTTTAACTTTTTTAGACATAGCTTGCAGCACTGAAACTGGAGTGGAGTGTTCCACTACTATGGGGAAAAACAAAGCCAGTTTCTGTAAAGATGGTAGAGATGGGTACACTCGGTTGTCTTATTTGCATAAAAGTTTGGAAACATTGGAAATCCTTTCAAATGGAAAGGCATATATGTGCATTAGGAAATTGACTGTTGTGATGGGAAGACTTAAGCCCTGAATTTTGGTAATCTTAGACATTTATGTGAAATAGTCACATGGCTCTACGCAATATGTTTCAAAGTCATGGAATGCCCTAACAGGCAATCTGTGGCTTGGTTTCACTGTTGCAGCACTGGAAGTATAAGTGAACTTGCTTGTTTAGTCTGTGAGGCCATGGAAGAAACAGCAGAATGTGAAATCTAGACATAAACGCTCTGAGACAGAAAGCTTTTTATTTTTCTAATGGCTCTTGGCTCTCAAGAGCAATGGCCTTTGCTATTATTGATCCTGGCTATGAAGGTTTCATGGGCATTGTTTATAACCTGACAGTTCGGACACTGTTTGCTGCTACTCACTTTTATTATCACACTCAATTTTCCTGTGGGTTTCTTTTTTCAGGGTGGGGAACTGGTTATTTTTTATTTGGCTGTCAAGAAAAAGCTGTACATGGTGTCAGCACTTGTGCAGGACGTCAAATTGCAAGTTGTCAAACGTAGGAGAAGGGAAGCATTAAGAATGCCCATTTGTACTTGCCTGCCTACACAGTGAGAGTCTGCACTCCTCTGACTATACAAACTTAGTTTTTCTTCAACTACCATCAGTCTGCATTGTTCAAGGTACACTAACACAGCTCTTCAGTGAGTGCTTAGTGCACAGTGCTGGCCTGAGTGGAATTCTCCATGTTTCAGTCATGTAAAAATCCCATTATGGGTTCAGGAATTGTGGATGTCGAGTTGGTTTTTGTTTTTGTTTTTGTTTTTCCTGGCAGCTTCCTTCCCTAAACTCCCTGTTAAATTTGTCCTTATTACTTCACCCATGCTATGTTTTCATGTGAAACCAGAAAATTAAGATGGAGGTGTCACCAGCTGTGCCAGAGTTTTGATCAGGCAGCCAGAACTTGCCTTGTAACTAGCTTGAGTGAAACACTGCATTTTAGGACTGCTCATTTTCAGTGTCTGGCTACCTAGTTCTCCAGTGACTGAAGTGTGCTTCCCTGTGCTGCTTTTGGGAAAGTTAAAGGATGCAGACAGGCAAGTGGCAGGGATTTGAATTGTTTGGACCATCCTTGGAGAAAGAGACCTGTGATCCAGAGGTGTGGAAAGTATGGGACCCTCTAGACCAGCTCTGCTTCCTTCAGTGTAGAGGACAAAATAGATCTAGGAAGTGAGTTCTCTTCTGAGCTGAAGAAAAGAGAGCAGCAGTGAGGGGAGAAGGAAAAGAAATTTCTTTGGCAATGTGCAGTGTTACCCACTAGAACTCCATGAGGCATGATAGTATTGAGGCAAACAAGGCTGATACTCTAAACCATTAAATACTTAAATGGATGCTGCTCTTTTCTTAGAAACCCACATTAATATAGAGGTACTGATGGGGATTGGTGCCAGTTCTGCTAGACAATGCTACGGAAGGCTGTGGTCATGCTCTAATGACCTGAGTTGTGGTGGCAAAAGACATTGCTGTGCTTTTAGTCTTTTGTGACCTCCTGGAATTTAGTTCTCAATCATTTTTCAGTATCGGTTTCTAATCAGTTACTTGAGCTACACAGCTGCCCCAGGCATTTTAGTTCTAGGCCAGTTAAAGTTCATCTTTAACTGGATGGCTGTTCCACAAATACTTGGCAATGAACTTATTGTCCTGCACTTCACAGGTGAAAAATGAAATGCATGCAAAATCTATTTTCATTTCATACAAATGGGTTGCTTTTTAAAATTCACAGTAAATGCAATGCACAAGAGTGCAGTATTATTTGTCAACAGTTTCAGTGGAGCATCCACAACATTCATTTGATCTTTACTCAAGGAATCTGATCAGCCTCCTTGGAAAGGATTCACCAAATGTACTGGCTTGGTTTTGGAAAGTGCTGTAACATGAGCGCGCCTCATTCTGCTGGCACAAACATTCCTGGAACACTCTAAGGCTCCTGCCTTGGCGTCACCCTGTGCTGCTGGAGAGGAGCAGGGGTTGTGCAGACTTTTTGCGCTTGGTGTGTGTTGACGCAGCCTTCCCCTCCCAGGGCATGCCAATGGTGCTACCATTCACTTCCAGACAGGCACAAC